AACCGCAGACGATACACCCACGACAGAAGATATGACGGACGAGATACCGTAGACTCCGTAGACGACAAACAACACAATGAAGAACCACGGACGACAGAAACGAGACACTGACGGACGATGCACTGACGGGCGAGACGACGACGACGACACGACGACGGACGACGATATGAGGACTTATCACGAAAATTTCGTCGCCGCCGCGTATGTATTCGTACATCTCGACACCGCCGAACTGATCGCACGACAGAATCGAGCTGACGGTGGCATACCTTGGAGCTCCATCATAGCGTCTTCTGCACCAAAATATTCCTGAAATTTTGGGACGAAAAGCCAAAGCTACTGCTCCAAAATTTTGCGGAAATTTCGTGTGCACGAAATTTCAAAAAAAAAGAAAAAAGCCATGATATCGAAAACATGCGTCCTGAAATGTCGGTTACAGTCGATTTTCGGACGAGCCGCCCCCCAAAACGTCTTGGAAAATGTAGGGTCTCACAAAGAAGCGATACCTACGCCCAAAATTTCACAATAATTTTAGAAAGAAAATCGCGAGCAAACGACTCCGGCCTCAAAATTTCCGAAAAATGTTGGGGCAGGCTGCCAAGGGGAGGTGGGATCAAAAACGTGAGACGAGCTCTAGCCGTTTTGTTGGTTTATCTTCTATCGCATATATCTATGGACAATACTGATCAAAATCCTGCGGGGTTCAAATTCTTGAGAAAACATTCAATCTCGTAAGAATCCAATATACCTATCCAATCGTTCAACTATATAGATTATCTCATTGATCGTTTTCTCTGATCTGGTCAAAAAGTGGCAACCTAGAATGTTTGCTGCAGCCCTTGTCGCTGCACAGTTGACATCTTCATAATGATAAATCCTCATGGCTTCGAATTATTTCGTCTGTAGTGGGCGAATCAGGACGAATTCGGAAGAAGGGGCAACGAGTTCCAGTTTTGCTTCAAGTTTAGGGCACCAGGTGTCGTTCTTCAGCATGCGGGATGCAACCACCTCGATTAGATGCGACAAACTCGAAGAATGACACTTCATACCCCGTGTTGCGCAGACACTGATGAGCGAAACTCCTCTAACCCCTGTCGGTCATTGCCAAGCCCCCTTTGGCAGGTTGGCATGATACTTGGCACGCTATGTTCTTGAAACCGACAACCGTGGCAACAGAAGCTTTGCAAGAGTTTGTAACCTAGGAAGAAGCCTCGCCGCCCTTGTCGCCTGACTCGCCGCCCATGTAAATCCTAATTTTCTTTGTACAGTGTGAGCTGGACAGCTGGTTTTGCAGCTGGCAATGCAAGGTTGAATGAATGATGACGATGACCATATCAGCAACAAGCGACATTTGTAGAAGGCTTTGCAAAAGTCTCCCAGCAGCCAGCGAAATTGCTCAAACTTTTCGAGCCTTGATCGGTATTTCAGCGCATGCCGAGCCACTCGAGCTCGGCTGACTGTACACACGCGAGCCGGGTGGAGGGAACTGCACCAGGGTTTCCCACACCACCGGCCCCCGGATCACATGCAGCCGCTGGTCAGCAGCTCAACAAGAATGGCCGTAAATGCAAGCGCTCTGAAGCATAGCAACGAAAATTGATGCCCTTGACCCGTACCCGTTTAAACCTAAACCCTTAAAACCCAATCCCTAAACACCCCAATCCCTGAACTTTGCCCCAAGCTCCTAAACCCACATGCCGCAACGTGCCCTCAAACCAAACCCGATCCCCAAAGTTTGTAAAACAATAGCCCTATTACCAAATCCCCAACCTTTCAATCTTGAAGCCTGCTTAAGCCAACCCCCAACACTACTCTTCACCACACTGAGCGAATTGATGCATCTGTCTTGAAGTCTTCAGCTGGGTCCACGCGAATCAAAGTCCGTGTCAAACCTCAGCATTCCTCGTCGCATCGATGACCTTGGAGTCCCGTTTGGGAGTTTCCGAAAATTAGGGGTACCTTATTTGGGGGGTCCTTAATAAGGATCCTACTAGTTAGGGTACTATATTAGGGTCCCCTGTTTTCGGAAACTCCCATCTTCAGCATTCGCAACTTCGAAACCTCACCATGTGCCAGACATGCGTGCTTGCGGGGGCATCAAGCCTACAAGGCAACGATGGAAAGCCTCTTCAATACAATTACAATTCTATGCAGTGATACGATCTGAGACGACAATCCTAATGGATTATACTGGATTTTGCAGGTGACGTTCCAAGATGTCGTCCGATATGTTCTCGACGATCATCTTCTGCGTTGCGTTGCAATGATAGAACCTCAGGTGCCCAGCTTCTGGGAAGCTTACTTTTCCTGTGCTTGATTGACTTCTCGTAGACTTCTCCTCAGGTCTCCTTTGCGTTTGGCCGATCTTTGTGCAAGCCCTGCAGCTCACGGACACCATCCTTGAGGGCGGCTTTCATGCACTGGTCGATGAGCAGAGGGCTTGTCAGGAGCCTCGCAGACACTCGAAGTTCTTCCACGAAATAGCTGGAGACGGGATCGTTGGTCTGTTGCTAGCTCAGCACTTTCTCGTAACGCCCATCAGAACCTCTGGCCGAAGCTAAGAGGACTCCCAAAGTGGATGCATTTTGCCTCAACGCGTTGCAACTTGTGGCTCCGGAGAGTGGTATCGGAGTTAGGGGTTGGGGTAGAACTTGTCAAAAAGCTTCACAGATTGGTTCTTCACGGCAGCCTCTTTAAGACGTCCAGGATCTCCACAGGATCTGCACCCGGTCGAAGGATCTTCACTTCTGTTGTCATCCAAACCTCTCCAACTGGACACACCACGCGGACAGCAGCAAGCTTCATCTAAAAAGAAGCAAGGACAATGAAGCGAAGCAACCTGAGCCCTTCAGCCTCGAGTCTAGAATTCGGAAAGTGCCGGGCGAGATGCCGCAGTCGTTGGTGGCTTCAGGCTGGCCGGCAGTACATCCAATGATTCATTGAGCTTCTCCTGCCGTTTGAATGCTTTGATCTGGACTTGCCTTCAAACCCCTAAACCCCGAAACCCTTACAACCCTAAACTCGAAACCCTAAACCGCACAGGAGCATCTGCTGTGATTGCTGAGATTGCACCATGTCCAGTCCTGCGCTGTTTGCATCAAAGAGCTGCAGAAGCCGAGTTCGCCTTTGGTGGATACCTGCGCAAGGATCCAGGGATAAAGGTTGAGGAATTAGCGTGCGGCAGTCCGAGGTGTTGGTTCCTTATCCAGGTGGAGGGTTTAGGCCAAAGTTGTTTTTTGAACGGAGGCTTTAGGGTCGGGGAGCTTCTGGGAGCAAGCAGTTTTTCCCCACGAACCACCCCCCGTGCATCTGCCCCCTCCCATCCTCTGCACACCCCTGCCCCCCCCCCCACCCCCGCACCTCCCTACCCCCCCGCGGCGTGCTGCCTCCACTCCGGCATCGCCATGATGCCTTCGGTGCTTGAAGAAACAACCGAGCAATTCGTCGGCCCTCTTCACTTGTCGCCGGGTCACGACACGAAGCGTTTACAACTAGCATAGCATTATAGCATTGGGCTTAGACTAGCGACATGATATCATTAGTAGAATCGGATCGGATTCAGGCATGCAATAGAACATGTTAAACATAAGCTTGCCTCACAGTGACCAGGGCTTGCTTTGGCAAGCTTCTCAAAGCTGCCGATGGCCTCAGAGAGGGACACTGACACTTGACACAAGAGAAGCAAGTGCTGGCTTGTGGCATCTGCTGTTCTAGACTTGTAGACTAAAATTTGCACTTGTATCAGCACGACATGTCATGTCAGAGGTTCCAGCCGGCTCCGTTCCAGAAACGACGAATGTGTCCCGAGATATGAAAGCCGCGATTTTGCACACACCTCCGTCCTTGGAATGCCGCAGGGGATCAGCCCACACATCCATAGGGTCTGATTCTGGACATGCCTTGCATAGACCGAACTGGCAACGACATTCTGCATGATCAAGTGCTGCCAGGACACCTCCTTTGCAGCAGCTTGCTGGCACAACGTGGACACCAAGGCTCTCTTGAAGCCAGTAACACAAATCGCACGCTGCTTCTTGCCAGACCTCTTTAGCTATCCCCGCCGGTAGCAGGTGCATACGTGTCAAGCACTGCACTGATTCTGATGCGACCACTTCTTGGACTGCTCGACGGCAAGTGTGGGTAAGGCCCTGGCGAGGCTAGCTCCGCTGTGGCGTCTTCTGCCAGCTTGGCAAGCCTCAGGCCATCCTCAATGGTCATGACACCGGCCGCACAGAAGGCCGCCAAGGTCCCTGTCGAGGCATGTGCCGATAGCTTAGGAGGGCCGACTTCGAAGCATGATTCCGCAAACAGGCCGACTGTGTTGATGCTGACTCACAGCTGCATGACTGGACGTCGCTAGAGTACAAGGCTCGCCATCGAAACCTCGCGGCAGCCTTCCAAGTCGTGGGCAGGCGCCGATAGCCGCAACCGGGCCAAATTGACGAAGGTTTTAGATGGGTTCAGAGCTGATGCACCGGAACTTCGAATAATGTAAGCTCTCTCCCGCAGCAGGCTCAAAAGGCTCTCCCTGCCTCCAGGGCCGACAGGCACGATTGAAGCAGCGCCACTGGCCTCAACAGGGCACGGCCAGATGCAGGATGATTGAGGCGTCTGTGTGCTTCAGGACGCTTCTTGTGGACAAAGCAGCATCACAGATGCACATCGCTGACGTGAGTTGGGTCAAGCACGACACGGCTCACAGTTAAAACCAAAGAAAGAAGATGTCACACCCCCCGGCTTCAGCCTGTGGTGTGTCATTCTTGAACTTCTCCAATCCAGCGAGGGAACCAATGAAGCCGTGGAGGGGGCTGTGGTTGACATTGAAAGTTCGCACGGCGGTACTGCAGCCAACGACGGACTTGGCTTTCTGAACCAAATCATTCACCGCCGGCAGCTCCAACGACATAGCCTTCAATGGCACGTTTGTTCCAGGGATCGCGAGAACAGTTAAGCTGTTTGACATGCCTCGAGGTCATCCGCGGGCACATGGCTAACGTCCAAGAGGAATGCAGCCTTGGGCGGCAGGGCCTCACAGGGGCTAGGCATCCATCTGATTGTAATAATTTGGTGGCTATCAATCTTCCAGATGAACCAATGAAACTGTGAAAACCCATGCACATGCTTCATTCAGCTGACAGATTGGTCTGCAGGTCGCTTCTTCAGAGCTACCCGGCTACTCCGAGAAAGCAAACCTTAGCTCAAAGACCGTGAGAGAGGAACAGATGGTGCTTCTGTGCCTCCTCTTCGGCTTTTGCTTTGCCGTCTTTGGCATCTCCTCTCCCGCCACGAGCTTTCAGAGCGCCGAGGAGGCGAGGGGCATCAGCCGACAGCGCCACCGCATCCTGGGAGGTGGAAGATCAGTTTGGCTGCTCTGGTTTGAGTTGCCGTATGACTGGCGCCGTGCGGTCCAGGGCTAAACTGCGGAGGTTGGCTTGAGCGTCGCAGGGACCTTTTCGATAACTATGCGGCTGGTTCCGGCCGGAACACGGGCACTGAAAACTGCCAACTCTACGCACGGTGTTTCAGCAGATTTTACAAGCGCGACCACAGGATTCGACTGTTCCAGGTAAAGGCAAGCAACCAATACGAGCCCCTCCTCCCTTCCATTCCCTCCAACGCCTGTGAGCCGTCCGCCACAAGGAAGTCAACTTCAGCAATACCGAGGTCCTGCCCGTTTTTGCTCCAACAGGTGGCTCGACATCACTAGTTCTGCTTCTCTGCCTTGGGTTCATGCAGTCTTAGTACTCTCGATAAGTCTCGAACTTGTGGGGTTTGTCACATAAGCATGGTCTTCCCTAAACCCTAAACCCTAAACCCCTCAACCCCTAAACCACAAACCCTAATGTACGGCGGCTGCCTTCACGGAGCGCTGGTCTTCCAATTCGTCGCCCTTGGAAGTGAGCTTCAGCAGCTGCTCCGACGGCCTTACACCAGTTATTGCTGTTGTTGCGATGTTCATTACAGTTACTACTGTTCTTGTCGTCCTTATTATTGTTGCTATTATTGGGCTTCATAGCGAAAACGGATACTTCGCAGGCCCAGAACACCTCCTGCTACCCTCGCGGCCCACATGCCACACGAGAACACCTCGACTAAGAGCCCGGCTCTCCAAGCTCATTGCGGATGAGCTCTTTCAGGTCTTGCACAGATGCCTGGTATTCTTCGCCCATGTAAAGACTGCCAACACAAGCGCGAATGCAGAGCGTCAGATGCCTCAGTGGGGATCTCCAACTCGAAGCTTGATGCCCCAGACTTGCAGCGAACCTGCCGTACAAGGAACGGAAGCTGCAACTGCAAACCACGTGGCTGATTTTTGTGCGACCGCAAAGCTGATGCTCGGAGCCTTAGCTGGACCTAGCTTTTGACATCAGGATTTACGGGGCTTAGGGCCTAAGCTGCGAAAGACTCTGCCTTAAGGCAGGCAGGAAAGGCGCGATTCGAGGACTCAAGCTTCCAAGAAGCTGAACCCTGAAGTAGAAACCCAATTCTAACAGTCTACCCGAAACCCCAAACCCTACAACCTAAACCCCAAATCCCTCTCAGCATGTCAGGACTTGAACAGAAAGCAGTTCGGATCCTTCGGACGGCCTTCAGCTTCGTCGACATGGTCTCTTCATCTGCAGATGCACCACCTCTGCGATCGAGGGCTTGTTTACGAACCCTGAAGCCTAGAACCCCAAAGTCAATCTGAGCCGCAGGTTATTGATCCACTTTCCTGGCGGTCTGCTATCGCGCCCTACATGCTCGCAGAAACGGTGGGCTTCGTACCACCTGCATAGCCTGCAGCCCTGCACCATGTAATTAATGATCCCGCGCCGCATTTCATTCAGCCTTTCAAGCCCGAAAGCTCTGAACGCCCCCAAGCCTTGAGCCCTAACCCTAAGCCCCACTCTTTCCGAACCTTCTCGCGAGAGGCAGCAGTCTGCTGAGCCGGCTTCTGCCTTCTTTAGGCATCGGGCGTCCAGATTTTTGAGCTTAGCAGCTGGATTTCTGGGTTCTGAGGCTTGGGGATTTGTTGTGCTTCAGGGTTTTAGTTCAGGGTTCTGAGTTTCAGAAGTTCGGGTCTTGCAGAGTTTTAGAGCGGCGGGTCTAGTAAGGAGACTTCAAGCGGATTGAGGGAGCCGGGGGTAGGCCACGAGTCGAGGAGACAACGGCTTGCGCTACGTGGTCCCTGTCCGCAGAGTGCTGGTGGGACGCCGTAAGAAAGCCATCATAATGCAAAAGCTCTTTGTCTGGAGCCTAGCAGTCTCCCTATCGCCAGAAGGTATGAATTTGGCATCCTACCAGAAACAAAAACTTGGTGCAAGCCGACAATCTCACAAAACGGAACCGAAACACGGGCAGGCCTCCAGTTCCTGGCGCATCTGACCAAACTCCTCTCAAGGCGATAATCTGACGCAGCTTCCTATAGGGGTTTTGGGAAGCCTTTGATTCGCTTTTGCTTGTATATAATGTCAACTCGGAGGTAAGTTCGACAACGTGTCAAAGTCGGTGCTAAACCCTAAAACCCAAAGACCCAGGATCTAGCCTTACACCCCTAAACCCTTCTTGAAGGATGGAAGGCTTCGAAGTTGGGATGCTCGATTTGCAGACTTGCGGGTGCCTTTGAGCACCAAGCTGACATGGGAGCTTGAGAGCTCGAAGGACGGTTCCCTGATAACCCTGCATGTATGAACCTGAGCCCCAAACCGGCAGCCCAACTCTGTTACTTCTGCGAGTCTTGAAGAATACTCCAGTTTACACTTCCGGGTTCTTCAGTGAGCAAGCACGGGTGCTTTCTTCTCGTAAATATGCCCTGATACTCAAAAGCCTAAAACTCGGTAGTCTTTGCCATGAAGCCTCCAAGCAAAGCTCCGATAGAAACCGAAGTCTTCGGCACCGGCAATAGGATAACGGCTAATGGTCGACGGCAGAGTGGTAAGGGACCCGAGGCTTCGGGTTCAGGGTTTTGCACTATCCGGCTCTCGTGGATTGGGAGATTAGGGCTCTAAAAGGGGCCACAATATTGAGGTGTCAGGCTATGGGTCGCGAGTCAACTCCTCGTCGCCAATGTCCAGGGCCCGGCGGATGCCATCTCTGGCCACCTGACGGTGGAGTTTAGGGATTAGGACCGAAAGCTTTGTCCAAAAGGCGCTCAGCCGAACTCTTCAGCTTCGACCGGCAAAGCATACGTTCAGCTCGGTAAGCTTACAAAAGCTCTCAAAGCAGAGGGTGAGTTGCAGATGCAACCGCTTTCTTGCCATGAGTTTCCCACTTAACTCAATAATCTCACCAAAACCCTAAAGCCTAAACCCCTGCCATAACGACATAATCGTCAACTTACATGCATCAGTCTTAGATCCCCACGGGCCCTGTCAGTTCTGCAACAAATCGCGACTTTTCCATCATAAAACCCCTAAGCTAAGCCAAACACGTGGCTGCTGGTCCCAGGCACTCCAATCTTGCGCATTTCTTCTTTGAGTCCTTTGTACATCAATTCATTCGAAGCTTCTGGGTGGCTCAGGCTCCAGTTCGGGGTCTTGGGCCTAGGATTGAGAGCTTGGCTTCAGGACCTCAGGGACGGAGCTTTCTTGTGGGAGAAGATATGAGCACTCGTATACAACGACCTGGAAAACTCCTGGACAATTGATCCATTAGTTGGCCCAGATTGTCAATTTTCGTGTATAGTGTGCCATCTGTCTCCTGAAGATGTACAAGAAGTCGAGAAGCACATTAGCTCGAAGCACGTTCTCTGAGGTTCCGCCAGTCTCTGCTGAACAATGCTCGAACACCGCTGCACTCAAGGTCTGAAGAGGCAGTTAGGCTTTGTCACGACCCCCTAGCCCCCAAAACCTGGCATCCGAAGACGCCGGAGAGCTTGGCAGAGGATCAGCAGCAACTCGACCGAAAGCCTAAACCCGAGACCCTGAAGCCCCAAGCCGATTAGTTCGTGAAGAATGACCGAGAACACTGAGGCTCAGGCGCATGAGCTTTTGCTCGGCTTCCGGCCTCTCCTTCAGTGGGGTTCACTGGTCTCTTGTGAAAATACTTAGTTACCTAGTTCAAGATGCCACAGAAAGGGGAAGTATGTTACTTACTAGATTGCCCCGCAGTGGTGGCTTGAACTCCTTCATGTGAACCAATGTCGAAGGTGAAAACCCCATGCCCTTAAAAACTGGACTGCCGAAAGCAGAAATAGGAAACTCCAAGGGTCCTTAAGCCCCACGTGCTGCCTGAACCGACCCGGCGCCCTCTCGGGTGGCCTTGCCGACTTTGACTCCCTCATGGAGGGTCTGCCTCGCAGTCCCCAAGGCTTTGGGTTTAGCGCAAAATGTCTAGAGGTTTGGGTTTGTAGTTGAGCTCTGGTCTTCGAGTTTTCTGGCAGACCACGGGAACCAGGCTCGCCACATTCACAAGAGGAAGAAGCAGGAGCCCCAACGCAACCGTGGTACAAAGCATCAGCTTACTTGCAGTATCACTGCAATATCCCTGTCTTTGGTTACACATCCTTATAGGTCCCTTATGCTACTATCGTTTCAGTATACCGTTAATACTACCAGCGCATGATATTCTAATTTGGAGCCCTCCGTCATCACAGCCGGGGCGCAGCTTCTTCGGCGACGGAATTTCGCGCAGAAAAACTTGGCAAACAAGGGTTCGGGATGTTCAGGCTTCACGTTTAGGGCTTCGGGGTTCCGGTTGAGTTTGGGGCGGGAGGGCTCCTATCGGGCTTGGATGGGGAACACCGGATCTAGGGTAGAGGGTTGACGGGTCAGGCAGCGTGACCGTCCTTGCTTGCTTCCTTGGCACCCGAAACCCTGGCATCGCCTCCGGATTCAAAGTGCTTGCAGACGTGGCACGTGCCATCAAATCGCCGAGAAATTGGTTCACATTGCAATGCAATTTCACCTTGCTGACCTGGAGGGTTTAGGGTTTGGGTGTTGTTGATGACTTTGTCAGGTTCTGCGTTTACTCCAGGCCATCATGGCTTCAGCACTTACGAATGCTTCTTGTTTACACAGCATGACAAGCACCGATCCCGAGATCATGCCCTTTAACCCCACGAAAGCCTCAAGCCTAATTCGCATAGAGTACGCCGAATCCGCAAACCTGAGCGAATTGCGCTGCAGAAGTCAGAAGCTGAAACCCCAGTGACCGTCACAACTCTCAAACTCAACATCAATGTTCTCACCCGCTACTTCCAGAACGAAAAACGCCTGCAGTGCTTCCAAGGCTGCACAGAAAAGCCCCACAGCCTTCAGTGCTTGATTCAAACCCAAACCGAAATCTCCTGAACGACCAGACAACGGTACACCCCTAGATGGTTCAGAGCTCAGGATCTTGTCTTAGTAGCTCCAAAGCATCATCAATCCCTCGGGCCTCGTCGTTCTTCGAGAGGAGGCGAGGAGTGACCTGGCTAGGCAGAGGCTTCGAGTTTGGAGTTCAAGACTTCGGGCGTTGGTCTTTTCTTGTTTTTGAGCTCCTTCTTCCCAGCCCGGTGTCGCTGCGATGCCAGAGATTTAGGGCTTTGAGGCTCAAGTTTTCACCTCTCGATACGCCTAGGCTCGTTGCCTGGGCTTTTAAGTAACCAAGGAGCAAAAAGTATGAACTTTTATTTCATAATGCTTCCTTTAAGAAAAAGTATTACAGTATGGTACTCCAAAGCCCAGTTGCATGTGTGCCAGGTCGGAGTGAGCGGAGCGGCCGTATGAACACTAGAACACTTGGGTTCAGGAAAGTGCTCGCTGCTAACAGGAAGGAACACTGCCGAAACTTCCAGCCACACACCAAAGTAAACCACTGCATCTCAACTTTGCCCGAATACCCGAAGCCTCCGAGCTTCTTTGACGAAAGCCGCGAACCTCCAAACTGGACCCTTCGCCCTGCATGCAGGCGACCCCGAGCCACAATCTCCCAAAACACTGATGGGTGCGATGATCCGTGTCGTGTTGTTCTTGTTGCTTCCCTATGAACTCGGGCCGGGATAGCTCGTGCTAGAGCAGGCACAAGACTGCATGGACACTGAGTTGCTTCGAGATTCGCACTTGCACATGGCTTGGAGTGTGCTCGCAAACCCTGATAGAACGTATACCTTGCGGCCACCCCCTGCACCTCCATTCGGCGGTCGGAGCTTCCATCCAAGTTCACAAAATTCGCCACCAATCGGGCTGCCTTGTTCCGGATCCGGGTTCCGGCCTCGGGCAGGTCAGAGTCAGAGTGTGCCATAGGGGCCTTAAGAATCAAAATAGGGTCTTGGGGTACATTATAGTATACAGTATGCCCCAATTAATGGAAGCCCTATAACGGCTAGGATTGGTAATTATTCATGCTTCTACAATGCTTCTACATTACAGCTTCACGCTGGTTTGCACCATTCAGGGGCCAAGGACAGAGCATAAAGCTCAGGGCCAGTGGTTTCTTTGGCCCTTGGAAAGCCGTGGCACTACCTAGGCTTGAAAGCCGAGTCGAGGTTCATCCAAGTGCATCTGCTTGCACTTGGACATGATCTCGTCCAGGTAGCCGCTGTAATTGCCTCGCTTCGTAATGCAATGTTCGACAACGTACTATCCTCCAACTGTCCTGAAGCCCTTAACCCGAAATCTTCACAAGAAGCCCTCAACCATCTGGCATGGAAGCCCAGCTGCACAGCTGAAGAATCGGCTCGCTATGGAGCTTCTGCACCAACGCCTCGTCAACTTAATGTAAAAGCATCAATAGTACGAATGTTTATGCTTCACAACTTCATAAGTCACCGTATAAGCCTGCAGTTTGCATGACATACGGCGAGACTATCCTGAGCAGCAAAGCACTCGGGGTTTAGGATAGCCCATCACTGATGTCAGAAAATCAAGACACAACTCCCGCCAACTACTCTCCTCGGACCCTTGTCCCGGAGTCCTTCTTGGACAGGTCTTTCTCAAAGTGCATCAAGCTAAAGCCGTCGCTGAACTTGGTGCACACATTCCTGAGGATCTCCTCTAAAGCCTAAATCCTAAAGCCTTAACCTGAACCCCCAAACCCTAAACCCCTGAACCCTACACCCCCAAACCCGAAATCCTGAACCCTTAGCAAGCACTTCGAAGCTCTCTGCAACGGCTCGTGAGCTTCACGGTCCAAAGTATGGCAGTATGGTATGGGTAGTCCTTTAAATCAGGCTCCCTTTTAGGGTCCTTTTATAAGGGTGCCGCCTTCTTTTGGGTTCCTAAAATGGAACCCTAATTTGGAGAACTACCCGTATGCGACAATGCTCTCCCGAGGTCCCGAACACGGGCCTTTGTGCCGATGATTCGCATGAACACTATGATACCCTATGCCGTCAGTGATTTGCCAATGTGGTCTTGTCCAGAGGACAAGGTGGGTTCACTGACTGAAGTATACCGTACACCTATTCGCCGAAGAAATCCTACAACAGTTACAACCAAATTAGACTTGAGCAGCGAGAGCTTTATGAAGACCTATGCGGATCATCACGGCTACGGCAACCTGCACACAGCGTGGCCCTCCGGAAGCACAAGACTGTGTCGTAACCGCCAAACCTCAAACGAGATCCCCCAAAGCTCGACATTGCTACAAACTCCTATCCCAAACCCATAGATCTTAACCCCTACAGAGCGGACCACCTAAAGCCTGAACTCCAACCCCAGGCGAGGCGCACGAGGTCAGTGTTTGGGATCTGAACAACTTCACCTGGCAACCGTGGAAAATCAAACTTTGCGAACTATGCAGCAGCTACGATTAAGATTAACTGTTCAGGGTCTGGGGCTCAGCGCGTGCGTGGTGTTTAACTGAAGGAGTTTAGTATGTTGCTGAAGCCACACCGAACACGGCGGCCCCGACCACTTAGGCCCTCGACGGGTCAGGATGTAAAATTCTTGGTTTAGGGTTTAGGGCTTCGGATTTAAACTGCACCCGACTGAAGATGCACTGACTGGCTCGGCTATATCAAATATCCAAAGCCTACAGCTTCGGTTCTAGATGCTTGAACCCGAGTCCTGGAGCCCTCATCCGACAAAACTTTCCCACACCTGGATCTCAAGAGCCAGGTCGTATTCTCACCGGAAAAACTCACTCCCTAGACGCTCACTCCTGAACCCGAAATCCCACAGACCCGAAGTATCCCAAACGATCCGAAGCCAGGCGGCTCTTTGCGTAGAGCCATTTCTGCAGAGGCGTCACCAGGCCCGACTCCATCTGATCGAGAGCACCTGAGCCATGATCTGTAGGGCTTAAATTTATGGGTTACGCTGCACTTTAGAACTTAAAGTCAAACTTCAGGGAGGACTAAGGCAATTAAGGATCGGGTCTTGGGACTTAGCAAGCAGAGTCATAAGTACCTTGTTTTGGAGTTATAAGTCATAATAACTGTAGTTACCTCATCCATAGCAGCCCTAGTCACCAAGTCACGTGATCCTCTAAGTGGGACAACCCTGAGCATGGTTTGCCTGAGCATGGCTTTGTCAAAAGTTCGGAGTTTTTCCGCCGAAGCTTGGGACAATGCCACAATAAGCCTGAGAAGCCAGCCGATGCCCGAGGATGCAATGGCTGAGTTTGTACGGGGTGTAATAGAAGGTGATTGTCTGTGGTTCAGGGTCTACAGGGTATGCGCGGCTTCGGACGATGTGGCTACATTGGGCCCCAGATTCCTTCGAGTCCATGAAACTCTGGTAACACAGCCATACTCCGTCCTCTGAGCCCATGAAGGCATGAAGGCTGTCACTCTAACTTCCCAAGCTTGATTGTGGAGCTACGGTGAGCCCCCCTGCAAGCAGGCACCGCTGATGAGATTCAGGAGGTCTTTCTCCAGCAAGTTCATCTCCTGTCTTCGGAACTTAGGGCTTGAAGCCCTGGAGACTTCATGTAAGATGCTGGGTTGGGGTCTCTATTGGCTTTTATGGGGCTTCAGAAGACGCTTATTCTGCCTTGTAAGTTATTTTGCTTGTTGTGTCGCGGTTGTTCAGGGCCAAACGTTGGAAATCATCGCATCCGGTTCTAGATTGGTCCTCCACCTGCTCGCAGCCCTCGCAAGTCAATCCACTTCCACTGTAGCGCTGCAGTCCTCAGTCAGCCCAAGATTTCGATCCGGTGAAGCAGCAGCTTTACCAGCTTTTCGGGGTTTGTCCCCTGCTTGGGTTAGCCCGCGCACCGAAGGAGATGCAGTCAGATACGGTAGTGTTGCATGCACCTACATACATCAAACACCTCAACTCAGGAAAAATGCTGGAAGGGCCCCCAACTCTACCACCCTCGAGGCTACATGGGAGTTTCCGAAAATGGGGGACCCTAATAAAGTACCCTCAATAGTAGGATCCTTATTATAAGGACCCCAGAATAAGGCACCCCAAATTGCGGAAACTCTCACATCCATCCGATGCGGTGCTCGAACTGCCCAACAAAGGGTCGCTCCCGGACCTTCACAGCGAGATCTTTGCGCAAGGCGTGGAGGATGAAGTCTTCGTAGACCTGGGGTTAGGGTTTAGGGGTTTAGGGGGGGCCTGGGGTTTAGTAGATCATAGTACCCTTATATTAACCCTTATAGGGCCCTTTAAAATTTAAAGGGAACCCTCTTCTAATTATTTAGGGTTTAGGTCTGGCAAGTCGTTTCCGTCATGCAGGGAACATGCTCACGCATCTAGGATGTAGCAAGCTTTGGAGTTAAGGGGAAAAAGCAAAAGCTATAGAGACTGCAGGGTTTAGGAATCAATGCAGCTACATGGCTTCATTAGGGGATTATATCAGATATAAGCATGAAATAACTGGTGAGAGTACCACTGTCCTGCAGCGAAGCTGACTAAACGAATCGCTTCAGGCCGCAGACCCTCGGTGGAGGCCTCCCAAGCCTGAACACCGCACCCTATATCCTCTAGATTCTAGATAATCAGTAACCCTATGGTTTAGGGTTTAGGGTTAGTGAGTTGCATCCTACACCGCCAAAAGCCCCCAAAAGGATCCACTCCGTCGAACAACCCTTCTCCGAAAGAGTCTGGTGCAGTCGCTGAGCCGATTTTGTCACTGGCGAGGTCACTCCCAGACGCCGCTCAACCTGCAACATCGTGGTTTTGGGGTGCGGAGTGCAGGGTGTCCGCCGCAAGCACGTTGATGGTATGGGCATTGATTGCTTTTGGGACTTGCGTGTGCCCTGCGGACACTGCGAGTGTGGAGAGTGGGCATTTGTGGCTTTCGTGTCATTCGCCGGTTTGGCTGGAGCACAGAACAAGGCTCACTCGCGACATGGTTGAGTATTGGGGGTGAAGGGTGCAGGGTGTAAGCTTCAGACCTTTCGGGCTCTCAGGGTTGTGGATTTTAGGGCATTCCAACGTTCGCTGCTCCCCAGACATGGCCACAGCAACAGCAAGGATAGGATAGTACCCAGCTTTGCATGGACAACGCCCACAGGATTCCACAGCAGTGCAAATAAATGATGAAACACCTCAGCCCCTGACACCTACACCCGGACTCACAAAGTAACCACGAAACTCTGAAACTCGATCCCGCATCCCAACCTCCTCCTTTGCCAAGCTGGAGCGAGCCGTTTCGTCCTCGCTGGTGCTGTCTGCTGCTGGAAGTGCAACAGACACTGATGCAAGAAATCTTAGTCCGATGAGCTGAGAATTGAGGGTGTTCGGTACCCATAGGCCCCAAAGTAGTTCCTTTTAGGGATTACCTTATAGGATTCTATATACGAACCCCAAAAAGGAACTACTTTGGGGCCTTAGGGTAATGTGCTGAGGGTTCGCAGAGGCCGAATTGCAATCCCGCTGTAGGACCACACCATACCACGCCCCAAGCCCACAACATCCCGTAGCCTCACAACCTGATATGCCCAACCCTGAACCTGAAATCTGAAACGCTAAACCTCAAACCACAGACCCTAGACCCTGAAACCCCAAAGACCAAGCGCTCTGTCTTGGCAGTCCTCGACCAGGCCAAGCATGCAAAGCTGGAAGTCCACGTCCTTCTCTTTCAGAAGGACCTGCTTCGGTGAAGCTGGGCTTAAGGCTTAGGGTTCAAGGTTTTTTAGTGGTTTTAATGGCTGAGGGTTCAGAAATCAGGGTGTCGGCTGTAGGAGTTAACAAGATTTCTTGCAACGAAATGAGCTGCTTCCATCGGCTTACTGCAGAACCCGGCTACTGAGACGCCGGGGCCCAAAATCTGACGACCACCCGATGCTTGAAGCACAACACCCAAACCCCCGAAACACCCAGATCGAGAACATCTCCTTCAAACCCGGAACCTGGAACTAAAATTCAGCCATAATAAGATAAAATACCATCATATACGCTCATACATAATACCATATTGGAGGACTATACAATAACAACCCTAAGCCCTATAGCTCTAAGGCCAGCTAAGCGTGCTTGCGCATGGCGTTTGGCTTCCAGGTCGTGTTCAAGTGCTTCCTTACTCGTTAGGGTCTGGGTTCAGGGTTTGGTGGTCGTGAATCCTCGACAATATACACTTCAGCAGATTTCTTGACCCGTAACCAAGGCTTGCATAAAACACCCTAAATCTTTGGGCTGTCTGTTCCAGGGGGAGTTTCGTGCTTCGGGTCTTGACTACTCGCAATCCTAATGTCTTAATTCATCCCGCAGTCTGGATTCTAGATAGGAGCCTTACAAAACAGAATCGGGCTAAGGCCCAAGGAATAGTGTTACTAGATATTCACGACCAAACAATGGAACTCCGTCCCCTCGGCACAACACTTTTCGAGTACCTCAGGTTTAAGACAGGCTGAAGCACTAAAGCCTAAACCACAAAAACGTCAACCCCATGGCTACAAACAACTCCACCAAGATAAATCTTGAAGAACACCAAAGCCCCTACTTACAAACAGCTGTTACCATACTGCTTGTAACAAATCCAACAAGATAAATCCTGAAGAACACCAAAGCCCCTACTTGTACTTACAAACAACTGTTATCATACTGCTTTTAGGGTTGTATAAGGGAATTATGAAGGGGATTCGGGTTCATGTAGGCTTCTTAGGAGCACGGGTACGTCGGAGGCTCTACCGAGACTAAACGGGCTCCTCAGGCGTTTTGGTGTTTAGTCCGGAGCTTGGGATTCTGCTTTTTTGAGTTCAGGTCGCATCTGGCACGAACCTGGTAAACTCCACAGCCCTTGAACCATGCTAGCTGCGCTTCAAGTACGAGCGCTCGATGTTGGCGATGAGAGCTCGCATGCCAGCATGCCCTTGCTGGTACACATGCTGGAAGTTCTCATCTGCCTGCGAGTGTTTTCAGTGGCCGTTGCGAGATTGTTTGGGATCTCAAGCAGTGAATTCTGCGAAGGATTGAGTGTCATGTAACCTCATGCCAAGCACTGGAACATCTAGAACACCTACCATTCACCGTGCAGCTCGAGTGAAGATGTCGGGCTTTAAGCGTATGCCCTAGAAAGAGATACTGAAGGCTAGGGCAATGCTTTTTGTAGGGGCGGTATGTCATGGAATGACATTGCGGAAGTATCCGTGACAGGCATCACCCGAAACTCGGACTCCGTGACGTTAGCGGCCCTTTCGCATTTCATCGGGAAAGCTGTGAGTTGCTTTTTCGGGCACACGCACTGCAACTTACATCCCACCTTGAAGTACCTCTTCCTTCCACAGTACACGCGGCTGGAAAGAAGCGGAAATAGGTTTGAAGGTTGACGGGTCAATTCTTAGCTTCGAAACCCTAAGCTGCCATAAACCCCCACACGCGAAAGCCTGACACTCTAGACTCTAAACCGTACCGCCCAGAAAGCGACGGGGTCCTTCTCGAAGAAGTCAACTTCGTTCTTCCTCTGCAGCTCCAGCCGTTCGAAATTGTTGGAGAACTCCTGCACACAAGGGGCTTTGTTTGACTTACGGAGTGAAGTTCCCGGTTTCGGCTTAGGGTTGGGTTCAGTCGCTTGGTCTCCGCTTGCCCTGAAGACGTGACGCCCCAATCCGAACCGTGCAAATCCCAACAAACGCTCAAGCCGATGAAGAGCCGGATCCCTGATAGTTCCGGCTTAGGATGGGATGCAGGGCTCCTTCGAGGACGAGGATTTTTGTGGCAAGGGTTTCTAGGGTTGCAGGGCTTACAGGATTTATTAGGACATGTGGAGCAGAGCGGGCCTAGGATTCAAGATTTAGGGCTTGTTATGGCTTCTAGAGTTGAGCATTGAAGGAGGAATTAGGGCTTAAGGTCTTGGTAGGGCCGACACTCCAGGCTGGGAAAGAGGCAGTTGTGAACCTCGCCTTCCCTACCCGCATGCCGAAACCGTCGGAGAGACAATATTGCGTGACCTCAAGTTAGAGTCTACCTTAGAAGGGGCCTCCACCCTGTAATAGTGGTATAATAGGAATATGTTAGGGCCCTTATATAACCCTTATAGTCGCTATTACAGGGCGGGGGCCCCTTCTAAAGTCTACCTATCAGATAAAGCAGCAACTCCGAAGTCATACGCTCGCACCTTTAAGTCCTGCACATTAGGGTAAGCAGAGCACTCCCAAACAAACTACCAACAGTTGAACCCAAACACCCTAGAACGAACAAAACGGATTCAGAGAAGAGACTAAAACCGCCTGCTTCCCCCGACTGATTAACCCAAACAAGCCCTTATGCTACATCCTCCGGAACCCTCTGATGCTAAATCTCTCCTGCGGTGGCTCGAGCATGCTCGCCACCCAGGTCTGGAGGTCGATCCGACCCAAACTCTCTGCGGACTCACCTGCAATTTAGAGTTCTCTGGCTTGGGGGATGTTAAACCCTAAGGCTCAAAATGGCCGAAAAGCCTCATATAGTATGGTCTTTGGGCCCAAAAGCCATAATATATGAGTCCTTAGAGCCTTAGGGAACGAGTCGTTTCGGGTTTTAGAACTTCGGATTTAAAGCTCTTTTGGTTGAGGGTAGCCGTAGCTGTTAGCCCAAGTTATGGCCTATGGATTCCGGAGTTATAGGGCCCGCTGGGGCGTAGGAGGTACATACTGTTTAGGAATTGCTGGTTCGCAGATAGGGGTCCAGAGGTTTACATAGCGTTGGAGCATTTGATGAATTTCTAAGGTCTATGGCTTTAGGGCTTTACTGCTTGGGGGCTCGAGTTTTGGACGTTGAGGCTTCGTGCTTTGGTTGGGAAGCTCTCAAAAATCGTAGCACAAGCTCCTGGAAGGCAACCTCCTCATAAAGGGCTCAGATTCATGGTCTACATCTACGCGGCTTATCGGCTCCTGATTTGGGCATTGGGTCTCGAGAGCGCATCAGCCTCGACCCCCTCTACAAGTTTTTGGGTTCGGTAAAGGTGAACTTTACACCCTAACTCGGTCTTCAATGCGGCTTGAGGATAGGTCCTTGAGTCTGAAAGTGCTTGGAGTCAGCTTTACACTCCAGTATGACACGCTTTACTCTGAGACTTGTATTCTGTTTTTTTGGTCTGCTCCGAAAATCTTGTTACACCTCCAACTTCAGTCTTGCATCTCCGTGTCGTTCTTTTCGCGATCTCACTTAGTGCGCCTATAGCTCCACTTTTGCCTACTGTACTTACTAAGTCCTCCGACCCTCCAAGCACCAACACCCCTACAAGCTCCGATCGCCTTCTTTGGTCGACTCATTGAGGGTGAGGGCGCGGAGGATCTCAGAGCCACTTCGGCTAGTCTGGTCGCACTTCGAGAAGACCCCGACCGTCCGGTCCTGCAGAAGGGGGGGGTACTATACTATAATGTCCGGAAACAGACCGTATGATAGATACTATATATGTTACATAGTATATACCGTACTAGAGTATAACATAATATACTCACAAGGTGATGAACAGATCTCCTTATTATTGCTTTCGAGGCAGGACTGTGCAAATTCGGAGAGGCACAGCAAGTTTCGGTGCTGGTGGCTCGGTAGGCGCTTCAGTGAAATCTGCACACTGAATTAAAACACCGGCTCCAGGTGCTTCGCACGGCAGGATAATGCTTTAGCTGTGTGAGGGCCTTTGCGTCTACTGAAACCGAAAAACGAAAATCTACCTTGTTGTTACCGAGAGTCTATGGAACATCCTCTCGGTCATGGGGGGCTAGGATGGGGGCTTCAGCTTCTGCATCGTGGGGCTTGGGTTTAAGTAGATCGGATACTGACGTCCTGGAGCTGGTTCTCCATGATGAACTTCATCGCCTTAGTGACTGTGGAGCGGAAAACGACGGCGCCTCCATAGCCGAGGCCCTACACTGCCCTAAACCTGCGAGACACACAAAAAAGGACACTCTAGATTCATCCTGAAACTCATATCCCGAAACGAAGACCTCACCCTAAACCCCAGAATCCTAACCCAAAGCTGTAAAGACGTGAGACCCTACACCTTGAAGAGTGCACTTCAAACCCGAAAGTTTGAACACCCCAAGCCCTGCAACCTCCGCAAGTCCTAAGAAGCCACACCACAAACTACGGAAGGACAACGACTCGTTGCGTTGTTCGTGTTGGGCTTCACGTCACCGGAGGCCGGCACGACCGCGAGGAACCTTGGCTGTGCGATATGCAACAAAGGACTCGGGTTAAGGGGGTTAGGTTTGGGCTGGCTCCAGAAGCCTGAAAGTATGAGTTTTGAGAAAGGGGTGGGTCTCTTGTAGTAGATTAAGGATGGCAAAGGAATGCCAACAGAGCCTGCTGTATTAAAATGCACTCGATTTCTCTTTGGATTATCTGCCTCGGCTCGGGAAGTCGGGCTGTCAAAGCCCTTTTTCAAGGACTCGTCGCAAACGACGACGTTAGGGTTCAGGGTATGATCAGACCGAACAGCGGGAATCCGTGCGACATTCTGCGCGCTAGTATCTTGCGAGTGAGGCCAAGGACCTGCCTGTACGAACGGGAAGCTGCCGGGTGTAGCGTTTCCGTCAGCGTCAAGCCTACACCCAGTACCACCCTGAACCTGACATCCGAAGCCGCGCGGTCTAAGCTCAGAATCGAGCCTGTGGGCCTGCATCTAGTGGGATTCACGAACATTCTGCACCTGAACCACATCCGAAGTCTCACCAACCTCGGCCATCCAACACCCAGGGTTGACAGGCCTTTGGCTGTAGGGACAACCGGACCAGAGGAGTGCTGTGATGCGGTGACAGTCGCGGGAATAGTGCGACTTTATGCGTGAAATAGACTTAAACAGATGATGCGAGTCGAAAGCGCAAAGACGAGAGCCTGACAGTAGCGTCTTTCTATGCCACGGGGCATGTTGTTGTTGCCGGTTGCCTCGTCGTCGCGAATCTGCTTCTTCATAATCTGCTGCACAGCCTTCACTTTCTCCCTACAACAGACACCAGGCCCTCCATCCTCAGCACTGAGACCCAGGCCTATAGACCCCGACCCAAAATGCCACACGACGTTGACAAAGGTGCGGGCTCAGGGTCCAGGATCCGGTTTGGACCCCAGCACGGGGTGCTTACTGATCCTTTCCAGAAGGGTTTAGAGTTCAGGGTTTAAGGTTTATGGTTGGGCCAAGGTTTATGATAAGAGTGTTGCCTGCAGTGCTGTGGGAAGGGGGACTCTGTCCCCGGACCCACGTACTCTAGACAGCCTGTATCCTATCACACTGCATCCCGAACCCCACCCAAACCCAAATCCAGAAGTCCCTACCTAGTCTCCATTAGTGGTTCCTTGTTTTGGTTTAACCCGTTTACTGGCCAGGATCTTGTAAGATATCCTGAAAAAGAACTACAAGGGAGACTATAGGTTTAACCCGCCTCTGCTTTCTCCTTCGGCCAGGAGGTGATCCCCGGCAGGTCGACCAAGTCGATGCTCGGGACTTCGGGGCCCTGCACCTGGGCAACCAGTCTTGCGGCCTTGATAGTTCGAACAAGGTTTTGGGTTTTGGGGTCTGTTCTGCTAGAACTACAATAAGGATCTGTAAAGAATGATACGACTGTTCAGTCCAGCTCCGATTTTTCTTGGTCTGAACACTGAGTATTTCGGGCCTAGGGCGTATTATGACTGCTCTTGCTGGCTAGTGTTACTATCTGTCTGAGTCTTTATGTGCCGAGGCGGCTGACTGTAGAAGCATGGACAATGCCGGCGCATGATTTATGGTTTCTGCCTCTGTCTCACTCTCCCTCACTCTCGCTCTCGCACATAAGGCCTAGTTATAAGTCATTGTCATTGACAGTAGCGCTGAAGAAAAACACATCCCAGTCACGAAAACACGTTTCGAATTCTTATCAGTGGAGCATCCCTGGTTCGTGGCTGGAGGGAAACAAGTAATGTTGTGACTACTGGCTGTCATGTTCTTGATCATGTACTTGTATTCACGATGTTCACTCGTGCTAAGCGTGGGTCCAGGCTTCAGACCGGGAGTCTAGGGTTTCGGAGGCTAGGCTCCTCACTGCATGCCTGCTGCTGGGCTTCGAATGAGCATGTTTTTGAAAAGTTAAGGCCTTGGGGCACCGTTGGTGGGGAATGTCGTTAGGAAGCCCTGACACACAGAAAAACCCTGGACAAACCCTAAACCCTAAACCCAACTTCCTAAGCCCCCGAAACCAAAGGCCGGGCCCATCAGGCCCCGACTTCGATGACGATGATCTTCCTTGTGACGATGCCGCCGGACCCTGCACCTGTGCAACAGCGACTTGATTATTGGAGACAACTTTAAACCCAAAACCTCCAAACCCTAAACGCTCTTCCTTGGTCTGCTACACGGGCCTCTTTCTGGTTGTAGGAAAGGTCTCGGTGGTGTACATCTTATTCTGCGTGGTTTGGAAATGCTGGCTGTCGGTTTGTGGACAGCCTGAACGGGCTCAGGGCATGCCAGCTGCGGTGTGCGTTGGGCTTAGAGTTTAGGCTTGGGGTTTAAAACTGTCCTTGGAGCCTGCTGACACCGCTTCTTCCGCTGCTACCGGTCGTGATGCTCACCATTATCGAGATGATCTTGATGACTACGCTTAATTACACTTACACCACCGCCACCACCACCACCGCCACCGCCACCACCACCACCACCGTCACCACCCGACCGATCATCATCGTTATTTTCAATGCTTGGAGCAGACTATTATAAGATTAGTGAACGAGACAGCTTGTCTGAGGCGGCAACTTGAAAGGTTCGACGTAGCCCAGGATCCTTACTTTGAAAGCCTCTGACAGACCGCTGCAGGCTTAGGGTTGTCGATGCTCAGAGTACCCATAGGCCTCAAAGTAGTTCCTTTTTGGGGTTCATATATAGAATTCTAGAAGGTAAACCAAAAAAAGAACTACTTTTGGGCCTATGGGTAATTGGGATATCCCTCTTGACTTGCAGTCATGACTGTAAAACCATAAACAACTTCCTACGAATGCGTTCAACCCTTACAAACTCTGGTGGAACCCCGGCCCCGACTCTGCCTACCCTGCAACTGGTCGATGCTGAAACATCCGAAGGTGTGCCCCATCGTCAAAGGAGCAACAGCTCATCGTACCTGGAACGAACTCAAGGCCCCAAACCTTGCAGACCCTAACTAGGAACATGGCTTCGAGATTTCAGACGATCTGCGGAGAGGGGACCAGAAAGCTAAAAACTGCAAAAGCCTGGACATGAAGCCTGGACATGAAGCCCTCGAACTCCGGATAACAACCACCAATATGGGCTGCGTGCCCCACAAAACGACTTGCTTTATTGCTCATCGCGATCGTCCGGTACTGACGGGCGCGAAGAAGGGTGTCACCTTGGGTGATGCCCGCGGCCAGCGGCCCCTCAAGTCAACCCTCAAGGCTGTGGCGGCAGCCACTGAGGCGTTGAAAGCTGTATAAAATTTCTGTACATGCCACAAATTGCCGCAACTTGAAAGTTCAATGTCTGGACGGCCTCCCCCTCAACCCCCACAAGAGCCTCGAAGAGGGCGACTACTTACCAACATACCAAACAAAGGAACTTACACTTCCATGACTTCCGTGAGGTGTCTGTCGCAAAATCGAAAAAGTGGCCGAGTTCTACGACTTCGCAGGAAGGGCAAGGACAGGCTTTGGGAGAGCTTCCCAGGATCTAGGACAATCTGCTAGCATTCGGGTCTTGCCGAGCTCTTCCCAAGCCCTTCCAGTGCCTTTCAAGCGCTTCGCAGGCGTGCAAAAACGTGCCCAGGCAATGGACCAAAAACTAGAATGGAACTCTCCGGGGTGTGTCACCCGTGTCCAGAACCTTCAGAGGCATTCCACAGATTGAGAATTCAGAGGTGCGGGGCCCTCAAAGCTACAGGGTCGCTGCACAGATGTACTTAGACACGTGGGAACTTCAATAGATACATTTCAGAACTGCCGCCCGCGTAGCTCCTGTCCTGGGCCTGCACTCTACGACGTCTACGAGTAGTGATGATGGAGAAAACCCCGTCGGTAGGCCTGGAAGCAGATCATGGTCCCTGGGTCGGCAGAGAGGTAGTCTGTTAGCGTCCGGCCCCGGGTGTCCAGCTTCTGCGGGTCGGCGCCAGCTTGCAGGAGCTCGTTCACCATTAGTGTGCGGTGCCTTGATGCTGCCAGACTGAGAGCTGTCCTTCCGTGGGTGCTGCGATCTCGCGGATCAACGTCAGCAGCAGATTGCAGCAGCAGGCGCAGGGTCCTCATGTTGCCGCTGCGAGCTGCGTGCATCAGAGGTGTGAAGCACACCCTGTCGCTTAAGTTCTTGTCTGCACCCGCCTGCAATAGCAACTCCACGATCTTTGTGTGGCGCTTGCTGGCTGCCTCCACGAGAGCTGTCCTCTCTAACCAACCACGCACATCAATCTCCGCCCCAAATTGCAGGAGCAACTCTACCGTCTTGCTGTGGCCGTTGCGAGCTGCCAGACAGAGAGCTGTAAACCCGCAGCTGCGGCCTGCCTCCGTCTCTGCACCGGCTTTCAGCAACAACTCCACGATCTCTGTGTGACCCTTTTGAGCTGCCTCCATGAGAGCTGTGTTGATGCTCTGCAAATCCTTGCCCGCTCCAGCCCACAGCAGCAACTGCGTGATCTCCGTGCGGCCCTTTCGAGCTCCGAGCATGAGGGCGGTCCTTCCGCGACGGTCTCGGAGGTCCGGGGCAGCGAAGGCCTGCAACAGCAACTGCACCCTGGCCGTGTGGCCCTTGTCAGCTGCGTCCATGAGAACTGTCCTGTTAGACGACAGACTCCGCAAGTTTCTCTTGGCACCTGCTTTCAGCAGCCGCTCCATGACCTTCAGCTCGCCCGAATGATAAGCCTGACGAAACTCCCGGTCAACTTCATGCTTCTCTGCATCTGTGGACGGCCATGAAGTAAGCAGCTGGATGTGGTCTGCGGCATCCAGCAGATCCGGCTGGGCAGAGGCATCAGAACCAATACCATCCGGCAGTAATGATACCAGCCTGGTTGAATCTTCCAGCCGCTCGTGCCGGTGCACCAGCACTTGCAGGGACATGGGATAGGAATGCTTTCTTTTCAGGTGTGTCTTCAAGTCTCTTACTGTACCGATGTTCTCAGTGTCAACTGGAGGCAGCTCATGCCCATCAAGTGCCAGGATGCGGTCATCGCAGGATCAGGCGAACAAGAGGCAAGTAGATAGGTATTGAAGCAAGAGCAATTGGTTGTGTTTCTGATTCTGCAACATGTGAACTTGCACAATAGATGCATTGGGCTGTGCATTTTTCCCCAGGCCGTTTCGAACTATTGAGGCTTCTTACGAAGTTTAGAGTTGCGGAATGTCAAAAGATTCAAGAGAGGGTGTCTAGCAGTGTTGCTTTTTGTGGGTTTTCGAATTCAGTGCAGCTGCTTGGGTGTTCACCGTGACCGATTTGGAATGGCGTCGGGGCTCCGTGCAGGTGCGGAAGGCATGTATGCAGGACTCCGGCGTCAAGGGTTTTGACTGGAATCTTGAACCTGGGCCCTAAGCCCTTGGGCCCAAAGAATCCTGGATTTTCTTAGCTCCCAGATTCCGACACTCCGAGGAGGGACCACCACCCAAAGAAGCAACCAAGGCCTTCTTGACCCATCGACAGCTCTGACACGAGGTGGTCCATCTTCTCCTGCACGAAGAGATGGCCGTTCTCCTGCAGGCGCACACAACCCCGACCCACTTCGGAGCTGTGGTAAGCAGATGCTGTCCCCCAGCCTTGCTCAGGGATGTGTGGACTTCCCAGCTGGCCCACTCAAGGATTACGCCATGAGGGAGCCGTGTATTTCAAACACATGCACGGTGGATATCTACAAAGCCCTGGTTGGTGGCATTTGTTCAAATCAGCACCACCCAGTACACAGACCAAATGCCGAAGAAGACCTGACAAGATAGTCCTACAGATCCAAAACCCGACAAGATATGCGACGCCTGATGGTCAATGCTACTACCATTCGCTAAAAACAACCACTCAACACGACAAAATCTAAACCCCAAACCCACTACTGCTAGTGTTGGTCGCCTTTGGTCGTTGAACCCGCTTCTCCTTGGGCACCACCATGGCTTCTCGTTCCAGTTGGTCACCCTGAGGGGTAACCTCAAGTTCAGGTGCATCAATGCTGGAGCTTTGAAAGATCGGCTTGTGGTTTGCTAAAACATGGTCGAGCATGGTTCACAGATCCGTGCACCGGCTTTGCTTTCTCACTGGCCGCGCGCAGCCCGAATCGTGTGCAAGAGCCACCACAAGAGCGCGAAGACTTGCGAAGCAATATCGCAGGACCCAAACTCTTGCACCGGCGTCCGGGCCGAGTGGCCGTGTAGACAGACAAGGTGGTTCGGCACACGTCCGGATTCCGGCGCAGGCGAAGGTGCGTGGCCAGGCGCGTACAGAAACGTCGCCTCAGGGACTGGGGATGGATTGAAGCAGCTGTCGAGCCAACCTTCTTGGAACTGACTCCTTTACGTACCATCGGTTCACTGCTGTCGTCATGATGATAATGATGATGATAATGACGTTCTTGATGGTGCCCGCAAGTAGTAACAGTTGAGCTGGTGGCGCTGGCGACAATCCGTTGGTGCTAATGACGTGGTGACGGCGACGGCAGAGAGGAGTTGATTTCAACCGAAGAGAACACCCCCAATGTGCAAAGGAACGAGTTCACCCTAGTTGAGCTAAAATAACACTGAAACCCTCAATTCTGAGAGCTGTGGTCCGCGTGGCTTCCGCGGGAAGATCGGAAGCATTGCCAACATTTCCAGAATGGTACTCTTGCCCGCGCTCTCGTCGCCAACCACGATCCTGAGGGCTTCGGGTTGCGGGAGTGGGAGCCGGTGTTCCCGCGGCTGAGCGGCTGTTGGAGAGTGCGCAACACAAGTCAGAGCAACTGAGTTGGCTTCATGGTGGCCTATGCCAAGTCGATGACTGCTTTCTGAGTGGGTTTAGTGTTCAGCATACGTGGAAGCTTACCTGAAGTTTTTGTCGTCTGCAGTTTCACTGCAAGGCACATTCGCTGCGGTGTCCATCCATCCAGAACTTCGAGGAGAAGACCCCGGAGCGGATCCAACACCTGCCGCTACTCGGTCTTCGGGACACGGTTTAGGGTTTGTAGGGTTTAGGGTTTATATGGTTTAGGGTTGCTTGAACCATCTTGGTAGGTTACTTCGATGGCAAGTTGGAGGACGCCCGTCATAGCAATCTTGGTAGGTATAGCCCAGCTTCTAGCCCTTCAAGGGTGATAGGGACTTAGGTCAAAACCTACATCCTACACCTTAGAAAGCCTTCTCTAGTAAGTAGCTGAGTTGTAGACTCATCAAATAAACTACTCTAAGGGCAGCTACCTTGCTTTTTGACCGTACTATACCTCCTATCACCGGTTTACCCAGTCCGTTTGAAGAACTTGTGCTTCACTCGCCTACAAAGACCGACGCAGTTTGTGAGCTAAGAACATCAAGGCCTCAATAGACTTCAGGCTTGAGGGCCGACTCGAACTTACGAGCCTTGTATGGTTTAGGGTTTAGGGTTTAGGGCAGATTCCAAGTCGATGATCTTGGTTTGCAGCCGAGGGGCACGGAAGATCTTGCTCAGGGTGTAGGACATGTCCTCCATCGCCAAGACCCTTAACCCCCGGGATCCGAAAACGCCAAACCCTAACAACGGCCATCAAGGTCGAATTCAGCAGGGAACCCCAGCCTAGCAGTTTTGAAACGGAAAATCCGACTTCATGATGTCGGACATTGACTGATAATGCTAAAGCCATGCCGACAACGAGAAGTGCAACACACAATTCAGGCGAGTTGGAGCTTCCAGCTTGGAGTTGCGACAGCAAGGCCGTTTAAGGCGAAGGCCTGATGGGGACCCAGCACCCTGCTTCGGGGCTCAAGGATACATACCGCAAAGAAGGGCTACCACTACCTGCATGGCAATCTTGACACAGTTCCAGAACGACATCCTGCAGCCCCCAAAGCATGTTGACCCTTATGGAATGCTCCGAAGCTTCGAATGAGGATTGCCTACAGCAGTCTGGACCAAGGAATATACCTTAAATTCTGGTAGGATCCCTAATATGATTTAAGGTATATTCCTTAATTAAATTAATTGGGTATATTGGAGTCTCTGGGTAGCGTTTAAGGCGGTAACCGAAGAGTCCGAATCTCGGAGCGCCTGGGCCTGCGCGGCCCGTTGCCTCGCGCCGCTGGGCTGGCCCTCTGCCGGACTGGTCGGCGTCAACACCTGTGTACTCTAGGACCTATAGGAGCTTCAACAAGAACCAATACTATTTTGGGGGATTCAAATTCCTTATTCGAACAAATCGGGCAGCGCTCGGTCCCCGAGCGCGTCGCCCCGTGAGTTCGAGGCTTTGGCCGCATCGAGCCGTCTAGTTTAGCATTAGCAAATGCCACGACATGCCACGACCCTCGTTTTTCCATTCGGCCGCGCGGGCCCTCGCTCGGATGCCTCTGGGAAGGCGCACGGGTTTTGCAGCCATTCCCCAGGCTGTGGCCGGTTTCGGGGGGGCCGTGGACGACGCTAGGAAGCCAGCCTGCGAGCATCGTGAGCAGTCGGGCGCCTGCAGCCGGCCCTGCCGCGCGAGGCGATGTTTTGCAAGTTTTTGAATGGGTTTCGGAAGGCCTCAAAGGGCGCGCATCATCAGCATCAGCGGGGTTTGGCGGAGGGGGGTGCGTGCTACATGGAGGGCCAACGAGGGCTGAGAGGGCAACGGGGAGGGGCAAGGGGAGGGGCACACACAATTAGGGCGGGTGCGTGGCCTTGCTTCAGGCTTCTACCTGCGCTGTCCGCCCCAAACCCTATTCTTGGGCTCCTGTAGCAGGACGAGCATCGAAGGAAGCTCGTCACCGCCGTTGCATCGTCGTCACCGCCATCAACTTTGTCGCTATCATGATCATCGAGAACAGCACTTTCATCAGCACCATCATCATAATCATCGTTACCATCGTACTGTTCATCGGTCCTTGTAGTTACGAATGCTCCTTTAGGGCATGCACTACTGAGACCTGCCATCGCCCGACATGAAAACTGAAACCCGAAAACCTCGAAGATATTCCTTGCTTTTTAGTGGATCGCGATCTCACTACCGGAACTGTGCGTCCGCAGCCTCCCAATCTGAAGAATCCGACGTCTCCGCCGGAGGCGAAATCACCTTCGGATGCTGGTGACTGCAGCTAGGATAGGGAACAAACAGGAATGTGCTGTGAGGCTTGAGGGCTGCCGAGATCTTGAAGAATTTGCCAACTTCAGGCTCGGGCTCAAATCCCTTAACCGTCAAGTCGGCGGGACTGGAGAGCTCTGGAGCAACAAGCTGGGTAGATAAGGGGCCTTAATATTTGGAAGTAAGTCTTGGGGTATAGTGTACTGTAGGAACCTGAAAGCATAATCGTAGTAGTAGCGGCTATCCGCGCCCCTAGGTACAGGGTTTGTTCTACACTTCTCTGCACTATCATGGGGAATTACAAGGAGGTTAAGCTTCCAACGTTTCATAGAGTTTCGTCGATCCGGTCTTGCAGTCAGGGCTGTGGGACCGTGAGAAGGGCACCCGCCCCATTCAGAGGAAGAGATTCCGCTTCCTGCACTTCTAGGATTCTGGATTCTAGGCCTGATTCAGGCTTAAAGGTTTTGGGACTTTGCTGGCCGAAGGGTTGAGGAGGAAACAGTCAATATGAAACCGCACTGCAAGGCTTCAGGCTAAGAAACACCTGAACCCTAAACTCCTAAATCCCTAAACCTTAGATCCCTAAAGCCCTCTTGTTGCGCCTTCTCAAAGCACTTGATTTGATCAAGCTAAGGGGTCTTGCAGGGACCGATCGAGAGCCCAAAGGCTCGATCCCAACCTGAAAAAGACATACAAACCCCAGGCAATTTATCTGAAAATATAGTAGGATCCCTAAACTATTATGTAAGGTATATTCCTTGATTAAGGATTCTGGAAGGACCCAGTATCCCTAAATCCGGCACGCGTCCCATCCACGCAGCCAGGTGGCCAGCGTGCGCTGCAGCGGAATTGGGCCCGGGGCATTCCATGTAATCGTTAGCTCCTGCTTGTGAGTGCCCGGATTTCGCGTGTTTGATCTCAAGAGTCAGCTAGTCTCAGTTTACAATTCAGGCATTGGAGTTTAATCAGGATATTTCCAAGAACTGATATCTTGTGCAAGTCCGCGACCTTCGCACAGCATGCGACTGCGACTGCGACTGTTTCTGTTGATTGGGGCAAACTAAGCCTGAAAGCTTCCGCAGGAACGGTTAGCCTAGCGCGTGATCACGGCTGACGGTTTAAGGCACTAGCGATCAGCAGAGACCTATAGCCATGCTATGCGTTGCGTTGATGAACCACCTGCCACCCTCAAAAAAGGAAAGCCTGCCCGTCTTCAAACCTCAATCCGTAGTAGGACTCAGAAGGTGGGTCTGTTTCAAGGTCGTAAACCTGCGCGCGAGATGACTCTAGGGATCTGAAGGGCGATCAAAATAGAACATCGCAACTGGGCCTTGGGTTGGGTGGTTAAGGTCTCCAAGTTCTCAGCGAGTGTCCTCAGACGGCGGGTTCTCCAACACTGCCTTCAGCTCGTCGATGGCCTGTTCAATCATTGAGCCCTGAGCCCAGACACGGAAAACCGCGGCCTAAACCCTCTGGGCTTGGGTTTCTGACTGGAGGGCTGAAGATGATCCCCCCACGACTGCGCGAAAACCTTCACACCTGCAAACCCAAAGCATCAAGCTGCATCAGATCTGGTCAAAACCCTATCCTCGATCGTAAAGAAGGCTGTAGTATGCAGGTACGCGGGGCCGGCGATAGTGAGTTTCTATGCTGTTGATGGTATTCTGTGCTTCTGCTGCGAGTCTAAAGATTACTACGCGTTGTTAGTCTTATTGTTGATATAGACGAGGTTATCACTATACCTGCTGTTATTATGATTCTGACTTTGAATGTTACGTACTATCGTTGCTGTCAGTATTATCATGATTCTGATCCTTACAATGTTACAACTTTCTGTAAAGCTTGTAACGTTCATGCGAGCGCCTTGACAATCCAAGTCAAAGCCATGAACCCTGAGTTCAGGGTGCAGTGTTCAACCTTGTCCCGTTTTGCTGAAAACACGCAGCCATCCGAGAAGGTCCACAAAAACTTCTGCATTTGGTGCTTCGACATTGGGTTAATTAAGGCTTAAGGTATTTAGGGTTCTGGTATTATTCAGGTTCAGCCTTCGGGCTGGTCTTGGGGGAGTAGGCCTGTGCTGCACAGCTTAAGCCAGAAACGCTTAAAGTTTGGGTAAGTTGGAAGAATCCAACTCTTGGTCTCCTGAGGGCTGAAGATTGTTTCGGAAGCAATGCCGTGCTGGCAGGGTTTAGGGTTTAGGGTTTGCCGTAGAATGGCGCAGAAGCGGAAGTAGCTTGCGACAGTGTAATTTCGAGTGCATCGTCCTCAGGCGATTCAACGTTTGAGCCTGATTGTGGTTGGCTCTTTTTATTCACTCTCCCACCCCACGCCGTCTAAGGCGGCTAAACCACCCAAACCTATTCCTTTTAGGGTTTAGCACCTAAACTCAGTCTGCGGTTTGCTTTATTTCTTCAACCTCAGGCGGGGCAAAGCAGGCAGGGCCAGGTAGGCCAGAGGGGCCAGGCAGGCCAGAGAGCCAAGGCCAGGCAGGGCCAGGAAAGGCCGAGGAAAGGGGGCAGTCAGAAGACCGAAAGTTGGGGGGGCCAGGCGGGGCCGGCCAGGGTGGGAAACCCAAGTCCCCCCTAGGACCCGCCTGGAGGCCCCTGGGTCCTCGAACTCTGGTTGCTGCAGGCCCCAAGCCCCCCCGGCGGGTGCCTTTTTGGAGGGGGGCCCAAATGGCTTGGTCCTTCATGATGAAGGGGTTGGGGTTTTGGGTAATTACTTTAATAGGGACCAGTACTGGTCCCGAGGAGAATGTGTCCCGGTACCGGGCCTAACGTGGGTGCTACAGTACCCCTGGCTGTGGGACGGCGTGCGAGCGTCCTGGATCGACCTGCGCCATCGGTGTCGAAGGGCATAAGCGCCGCCCACCATCGAAGGTGGGCGGGTTAGGGCCTGAGTTTAGGGAGGCCCTGAGACAGCATACACGCGGTAAACCCCAGCATCCGCACAGCCGACACGCCCCCAGACTTCAAAGCCACGAGTAGCTTCAACAAGGCTTACGCCCCCAAATCCCTAAACCCTCCTCCAAACCTTAATCCCAAGGCTCTCACGACCCTCAGCCTTGCCGCCATGAGGCCTTAAAAGCCTCAAGACCCAAACTGAAGCTTTAAACTCCAAGCCTTCATGTCTTCAAGCAACTGCAGCCATGCACGGAAGCCCAGAATACATCAGGGGTTATTCAACCTCAGGGGGTAGGCTTCAAGGTTTGACGATCTTCATAATTGAAGTATATTCCTCAATCAAGGACTTGGGGGACCCTCAAAGTAGGAGTCAGGACAGGAGAACAAAACACGCACTCCACGCGCTGGTCCTAATTTTTCTAAGCCCCACACCTTACCTCGAAAAGCTTTGACCCTACACCCTGTCTCCTCAAACTCTGACACCAACAAGTCTTAAAGTCTCCATACCCTACCCTAAACCCTACAGCCCTAGAACAGTGCTGTTTCGGTGAATATTATATATACTATATCTAGAAGAAAGAACCCCCAAAACCCTATTCGCCCCTACTTAACTTTACAGTCCCCTGATTCCGCAAACAGCTCCCACACTGCAGGCTTTGGACCCTGCAAAGAACGAAAGCGCGGCCTCTTTTAGGTCGCTGTTGCCTTCCAACCTAACTCTGAGCTCATTGGGTTCAGGGACCAGGGTTTCGGGTTTAGGGTTTAGGCTTACGGGGGTTAGGGTTCAGGGAGGAGAATGGGTATAGGGTTTAGGTTTGCATGTAGGTAACCTTGAGTCCGAAGACGGGACCAGGCTTAGGCTTCTAAGGGCATGGCGCCGGTGTTGCTCGGATTCTGTCTAGGATACCCAATAACCTAAGAATAAAAAGGCCTCTCTTTTTGGTATTGGGTAACTTTATAAGGAACCTAGGACTACAAAAAGGGAATAAGGGTACTACTGGAGATCCTAGTATTGGTATTGGGATTAGGCTGGAGGGCTGGGGATTTAGACCTCAGGCAAACGCCTTCAGCGTGTGAGTTCTGGCTTTAATACCCAATTGCAGACTCTTCCCTGTTTTCGTTCTGAAGAGTCTGGAGTACCCTTGTTCTGTGACTTGCGGTCTATGGCATTGATAGGTTTGGGCATACGGCTAATTCTCAAGTTGAGGTGGAGGTTCACCTCGCGAAAGGCTCTCCCCTTGGTCAGTCTGACACCCACGCTCTGAAGATTAGAACCTGACTCCCCGCCCAAAACCCTAAAAGCCAAGCACCGAAAGCAACCCGAACCCGAAAGCCCATGAGCCCGTCTGCGACGCACACACTAGGACCCCGGCGCAGAGCCCATGGGATTTCGCGTCTGAGGGGACAGCTCCTTGTCCTGCGATGGGAATGTTCAGGGATTGAGGGTTGAGGGGAGGATGTGAATGTCGGGGTCGTGCCTAGGGTTCAGGATTGTGTAAGGTCAGTCACAAGGATTCTGTGCTTAGCGGGGTCCCGGCCCCTAAACCAAACTAGCCAGCCAGAAGCGCCAAGACTTCTTTACCAGCCTTCAGCGGGGTGTCGCTCTTGATTTTGCAGTCGTTCAGTTTACGATTTTTGGTGCAAGGAGACGAGTTTGAGATGTGATGTCTACACCCCTCGCCGGTACGCCTCACAATGCTCCCGACAGTGAAGCACCACTCAGCGCCAAGCAGAGAGGAGGGATTGTAGGTGCTGAAGAGAGGCTGGCTCAGAGTCCAGTGCAAGTCTCTCTCAGCAACTGCGCGAGCCCTGAAGCGTGTGTAGGCAGACACTTAGGAGCGTCTGATGTCAACTCTTGCGGTGCTACACCTGCCCAACCATCCCTGGCTCCTGCAGCCACGCCTCAATTGCCGAGCGCTCATAGCTGTATCCATCCTTCCAAAGGCTTCGACTTGAGATGAAGCCCGTTTAAAGCCAAGGCATTGGGGCTGACGAGGTTCAGAGCTTCTTGTTTAGGGGAGGGGGATAGGGATAGAGAGCTTAGATGAGCTTAGGATTTTAGGGTTGTGGGCTTTGAGTTGAATTCTGGGTTCAGGGTTGCACAAGCCTAAAGAGTCCCAACTCCGAAGAAAAATCGAAGCCTCGTGCCACAAACCCACTACCCAAATCCGAAACCCTGCTTCGCCAGCCTCCAGCCCTTCTGCCCGCATCAAACTTCAAACTGCTCTAGGTGGGCCTGCTGAAAACCTAGGTTCCCCAGTGTCCCCGTAATACTAATAATCGCACCCTGTTTGCTGGTATTCAGTTTGAATAAGGGAACCATGCGATAACAAGGGCAAAAGGGTACTGCAGGGGAACCTAGAAACTCAACCCCCCACCCCCCCAAAACATTAGCCAGAAAGCTCCGAAGGTCTCACACCTGAAGCCGGAAGCCTCTGCTCAAGATGAAGCGCAGGGTTTGGGGCTTAGGGTTTAGGGTTTAGGACTTAAGGCTTCGGGGTTTGGGTCAGGACCTAAGGCTTAGGGGTTAGGTTTTAAAACTTACGGCTATTTTATACCCAGGGTTTAGGGTTTAGGACTTATTACGGTTTAGGGTTTAGGGGAAAACAGATCAAGTCCCGAGGGCTTTCTGTCTACAACTCCCGCAAGATCACCCGGAAGCTCAGGGCGCTTCGGGGGACGCCTAATGGCCCTAATGTAGGGGCCTGAATAAATATGAGAATAGGGTTTGGGGCGGCTAATATATTATACTACAATTATAACGAGGGCCTTCCAGACTATTATAGGTATAATTGTTTAAGCGCCACGATATTACAACCCTTCCAAAACGGGGGGGGCCCTGCTCCCGATGACATCGCAGGTTCCCAGCAACCCCCTGGAAACGCAGCAAAGATGCCTCTGCCACAACAGGGTCCGTCATAGGGCGCCCTCCGATGGGGCACATGAAGTCGGCCACGATGGGCTTCTCGCGCAGGATCTGGCGAAGGCTTCTAAGGGTGAGAGTGACAAATCAGCACCCGGTTCCAGTAGAACCCTAAACCCTAAACCCCAAACCCTAAACCCTAAGCTGCCTAAGTTAAGGGTTCAGGGCCAAGGACCATGGGTAAGGCCAACAGTCCGTATGAGTAGCAGCTAAGTGGTCAGAGAGGAGCCCACCGATAGGGTTTAGGGTTTAGGGTACATTGCGTGTCCTGCTACTGCCTTATGTCCTCAGGGGCTTTCCAAAATCTTAGGTTTCGGGTGAGGATTCAACTTCAGATGGTCTTTTAAGCTAATGTAGGAACCTGATTAAGAAACCCTGGCCCTATAACCCTCAAAAAAGTAGGATTCATATAAGGAACCCTAATAGAGACCCAAGGTTCCTCAATCAGGTTCCTACATTATTCGGGGCCCATGACTGCTTGAGTGGTCCTAGCGGCGGCTCTCTAAAACCTGAACTCCCGTCGGCTTGAGGCTGTCAGGTTACGGGGTTTAGTCCAGGGCCCAGGGCATGTGTCGGTTGAGGTTGAGGGCTTCCTTAGTGTAATTATAGTATCATGGCCCTAAGACCCTATTCGAACTATTAAGGCTCCTATGTTAGGGTTCAGGGGTTAGGGAATACTGTACCTGGGCATCCGAAGGTGAAGTTGCACGGTGGGGTGTTCACATGGGAGTTTCCAAAAATAGGGGGCCTTAATATAGTACCCTAAATAGTAGGACCCTTATTATAAGGACCCCAAAATAAGGTACCCTAATCTCTGGAAACTCCCACATGTTTGGGACTTTGGAGCATTCAGGGGCTCAGAGCTGAGACTGGCCCTGAACCGTGGACTCCCAAAGTAGGCCGCTGCAACCCTTCTTAGAGGATCGCGGGACTTAGCAATTGGGGTTATAAATAGGGTAACTATACTTATAATTACTTATAACCCCAATTTGGGTACTTATGATCCTAGTTACTGAGTCCCATGATCCTCCAAATACCAACAGCTACAGCAAAGGCGCCGGGTGCCTGCAGAAACTTTCTGTAGGACCTGCGCTGAGTTGCATCCATGGCGGCTGTGACCGCGGAAGAAGAAGGACAGACAGATGAACAGCTGACGAGATCCGATCTCGAGCCGAAAAGCAATGAGTCCTCATGCTGGAAACCTGAGAACAACCTGCCTCAAAGCAATCAGCCGTGACGCTTTACCGCGGTGAGTCCCAAATGCCTCAACCTGTAAACCACACTGAGCAAAAGCCACGACAAAGCCGATAAAATCGTGCAAGGTTGTTCCCTATTATTTTGTGTCAGAACAGCCACAGCTGCAGCGAATAAAACCTGCTTGGGATAGCTAGGGATTAGGGTAGCTTTGGTGCTGGTGTTCTCCTGCTTGAGCTGAAAATCTCGCGAGGCTTGTGAAACTACACCTCGACACTTGCATTGGCCAGTGCAAGTGCTGCCACTCTCTGGCAGCCTTCCAACTGCCCTTCAAAGGCCTGCATTAAGAATTCTGGCACCGATTGCCCTGATGCAAAATCAGCTGCTGTCCAATTGCGCGAGTTGCGAAAGTCCAGCCGTGCGCCCGCAGCAATGAGTGCGGCAGCACCTTCGTACTGGCGCGACATGACAGCTGCCATCAAAGGCGTCTGATGGCCTCGATGGTATGCCCATCGACTCATTAAAGTATTGCTGCCGAATCGGTGTTGAAAAGACTTCGCGGAGAATAAAATCTTTCCAGGGACGTTCAAGCCTGGGCTGTTCTTAGAGGCCGTTCAAAACAAAGACTTCTTGTTCCGTCTTACGATTACATGACTTTAAGAACTACTTTGCTCGAGTATGAACACTACTTATGAGTCTACAGTATACTGTGCTCAGGTAGAAAAGTCGTCTCCACGAACGGCCTAACCACTGGCCTCAGGAGTAATGTAGCGGGCCGCAATAATCAGAATAGGCTTCTCAAGGGTTCTTTAGAGGGATCTATAAGGCTAAACCCTACACCGTGAACCTGAACCTAAACCCTAAACCCTATCTAAACCCTAAACCTTGAACCCGAGAACCCAAACCCGAAAACATAACCAACATCAAACCCTAAAACTCTAAACCCTGAACCCAAGCCCTAAACGCTGAATCTAAAGTTTAAACCCTAAGCCCTAAATTGTATGGCCGACAACCCTAAACCCTAAAACCCTTAACCTTTCTAAAAAACCGAGAAGCCGAACCCTACACCCTAAAACCCTAAACCCCAAACCCTAACACCCTAAACCCTAAAACTGCTAGAAACCACAAACACCCTAAACCCCTGAAAACCCTAAAAACCTCAAAATCCTTCTAAAAAGCCGCGAAGCCGGTGTTCGCGTTTGCGTCGGCTCGTAGCTCCAGGAGTCGCTGCACCATTTCGGCGCTGGCTCCGCGAATCGATGCCGCCGCATAAAGCGGCCGGGAAAAATCTATAGTAGGCCTTAGTGAGATCTGTAGTGGGTTTAGGGTTTAGGGAATATCATGCCTTAGTGGGAGCTAGTGGGATTTTAGGGTTTAGGATGTAGTGAGTTTCAAGTCTAGGATGTAGTATGCCTTAGATTCAGTTGCTGTTTTAAGTCCGCCATGCGCCACCCACACTTCTTGTAAGAAATTTAAATGATTCAGCGTTGCGCGTCGGGGCAGCCAAAAGATGCGAGCGAAAGCTTTCGTGTTTATGTATGAGGTGGTGTACACCGAGAAAATCCTGAGTCCGAGCGGAGTGGTCACAACTTTCAGCCAATTTCATCGCCAGTTTAGAAACGATACATATGTGTATATATATATATATCGAACCAATACGGTGGTCTCTGTTCTTGGACTTCGAGCAATTGATTCTGTCTTCGTAGCCTGGGCTGAAAATGACATTCTCCCGATTCGTTGGTTGGGTATTCTAGTAAAGTACGACGCTTTGATACCCATGCACCTGCGCAGATAACGAAAATACAAAACGTCAATCGTGCGGAGGTGTTTGTCCTCCAAGGCTAATCCTTGAAGGGAGTACAGAAGGACTGGCAAGTTTTTGAATGATATTGGCGGATTTTGGACTTCGAACAAAGGCTTCATGCAGGCGGAGCGAGCTTTTTGCATTCGCGCTTCAATAGCTCACTTAGTGGTGCGGGTCTAGCTAACTGTGGTGCCAAGGTACTAGTTACTAGTACTTGACGTTGTCAACTGTAGAGGCAGGTGTGCCATCTGCAAAATGTGTAGCTAAGGGCGGAGCGTTCCGGTGTTGCAGAACGGATTTGTGAAAAGTCAATGAATCAGTGTCTTTATTAGGTTTTAGGATGTAGTGGGTTTAGTTTTTTAGGATGTGGTATGCCTTAGATTTAGTGGTTTTAGGGTATGGGATGTAGTAGATTTAGGGTTTAGGATGTAGTATGCATTCGATCCTCGGCCTGTAGAAACTCAGCACCTTGAAAGGCTTCACGCTTGGATTCCTAAACCCTGAACCCTTTAACCCTAAACCCCTAAACCCTTACCTACTTGCTTGGGTAACCCCACACCCCAAATCCTTCTTGTACCCTTACTGTACCTTAAAGCGGCCCTTAAAGAACCCCTAAACCCTAAACCCTTGCCTACACAGCATCTAAGATGCCAGTCGGGCCCGGCGTGCAGCACGAGCTCCTCCAGGCCTTCGAGCGCAGCCCAGGTAGCGGCATACTCCAGCGCCGAGTCTCCTTTGGGCTTCTTCTTTCGTTACATATAGTAAGGAACCCCTAAACTAGTGTAGGTAATTATAGTAAGAACCCCGCCCAAAATAGTACAGGCGTTACTCTCGGGGCCATTATAGCTAGACTAGGGTTTTAGGGCCCGCTTTATACCATAACTATAATACAGAACCCCCAAAACAGTGTAGGTACGTATTATGGCCCCTTTAATACTCCGGCCTTAATAATTAGAATAGGGTTTGGGGCCCGTTGTACTAACAACTATTATAAAGAACCCCCCAAAAATAGTATAGGTAAATATTAAGGCCCCTTTAATACTCGAAGGTCGAGTCGCCCATGAGGTTCTTCTTGAAAGGCCGACTTCCGGCCGCGCAAAGGATTCCTGCTGAGGCTTTTGAGTTGTTGTGAAATTCAAACAACTTTTTGCAAAGGATTCTTGCTTCGGGTTTAGGGTTTTTGTGGCGTGCTATAAGGACCCAAACCGAAAAGCTTTGATTTGGGTTTCTTTTTTGGGGGAAGCAATTTTTGGGACTGGGCTGGGCTGCTCTGGGTTGAAAGCTGGGCTGAGCGGCCTGGCAGAGTGCGAAAACAGACAAGTTTTTTCGTCTTGAGGAATTGGGGCTTAAGGTTCTGGATTTAGGGCTTAGGGTTCAGGTTGGGCTAGTTGTTTTACGGTTCCCAAAAAAATCATGAGTAGGAATAGGTACCTCTATAGTCTATAGGACTATAAAGAAATAGGAAGCTTTAAAAACAATTACCAAAAGACCACCTAGATTCGGATACCTTCCGGATCATTTGCACAAGCTGGCCCTGCCGTGTCCGGATGCAAGCCGAAATCCGTTTTGGCCCTAGCAGAGATCAGCAGGCGCATCACCTGGTGCTGCTTGAAGAAACCGGCCATGCCAAGCATCGTGAATCCTATCGTTGCCCCTGCCAGGGGCTGATCTTTTCGTGTCCATCGGTTTATTTCTGCCCGCAGCTGGAGCAGACCTTTCACCACCAGCGGGTCCCCACGCAGAGTGGCATAGTGCCCCGGCGACCAGCCACCAGCATCAACTTCATGAACCGTTGCGAATCCGTTCTGGTAGAGAAATCTCCGTGCAGACAGTATGCAAGCGTCGTGCTCCCGGCTGTCTGGCTCAAATCCTGGAATTAGGTCATCTGTTGCCAAAACGGGGAAGCCTCTGAGATGGATGCCTTGCAAGTTGAGATGCACGCGGTACCCAACGAGATCTTCGGCCATGAGAAGGAGCCTCAACTTCCGCTGCAAGGCTTGCTGAAGCACTTGAGCCAGTTTGCTTCGATCGTCTTTCTGCGTAAACTGGCCTTCGCCCGCCGACTGAACAATGAAGCAGGCTGAGGAAGATGCCGTAAGCTCCAACTCCGTGTTGCCCTTGATCCTGAGACCCCCAGTAACCTAGGAGAAAAACCAGGCTCCCCTTTGCTATTGGGTAGTTTTATAAAGAGGCTAAGACCACAAAAAGGTAAAAAAAGGGCCCACGGGAAGACGGAGGGTCATAATCCAGGAGGGATCTGGCGACAGCTCTCGCAAGACTCGTTCGATCCGGCACCATCCTCGCTCGCACCAAGATAGCCCAGTAAATACTTTGCCTAAAGACTCGCTTTCCACCACGGGACAGAGAGCAAAGAAGAATTTGCATCTGGCAATGTACCCAGGAATGCTGTCAATGGCTCTCGCCAGGCTGCTTTCCCTCCCGACATCCGGGCTGTGGTGTCTTTCCAACTGTGGACACGACATGTAGTCGTACCAAAGATGCAGCGGCTTCGCCTGCAGATCTGATACAGGAACGGGCTTCGCTCGTGGAAAGAAGGTCTCGGTAAAAATGTCGAAGGGAATGTTGCCGACGCCACAAAGCACGTGCTTCAGCGCATTCTGTAAGACCCGTAGCTGCTTGCCCTCTGGATCCGGATGCACATTGCCCACCCACTGGTGAGAAATAAATGCAGCATTGCCCATACTTTCATCAAATTCAAAAAGAAGGCCCTTTGCCTTCAACTCTTCATGTGGCTCCACCTCCGCTGTGATTGTTCTTGTTGAAGCTTGTGTGTTGAGACATAGTGTCAACTGAAACGGGGGAAGTTGCCCAGATCCCTAAGCCCTCCACCCAAAAGGCTTCTCTCCGATCCCGGCCCCGCCTCCGCCATCTGTAAAACGGCTTCGGCCGTGACAGTGTACATGGGGAAAAGAATGGGTGCGACTTCCATACCTGGCCAAGACTCAATACATCACATTCTGCTCGGGTACAACACTTGCCTCGGCCACATAGGACCAAACCAGCAACTTTTAAGGGATCGATGCCGGAAAAAAAGCTGTATATATGTAGACTGACGCTGCACTCTGTCATGGGAATGAATGGTAGTCTCAATAGTAGCAGTAGTAGCAGTGGTAGTAGTAGTAGAGTAGCAGTAGTAGTAGCAGCAGCAGCAGTAGTGGTTGAGTAGCAGTGGTAGTGGTAGTAGTAGTAGTAGTAGGAGGAGCAGCAGCAGTAGTAGTAGCAGCAGTGGCAGTAGCAGCAGTAGCAGCAGCAGTAGCAGTAGCAGTAGCAGCAGTAGCAGTAGCGGTAGCGGTAGCAGTAGCAGTGGCAGTGGCAGTGGCAGTGGCAGTGGCAGTGGCAGTAGCCGTCTGAACGCTCAGCTTTCTGCGATCGGGGTGTAATGTGTGTAGTCTCCTGAGACCGAGCGGCCCTTCTCATGGGACTGGTCGCGCAAGGCTTTCGCGAATCGCGCTAGGGCA